AGGTACCTACTAATAATAATTTCTTAAAAGTTTACCTACACACAAGCAAATGAACTCTAAAAAATGCACATCTATTTAGTGAGAAATTAAGTGTTGAATTTCCATTCCCTCAGAAAACTAAGAATGAGAACATAATTTGCACAAAATGTCTATACCTATTATGCCTTACTAGAAATAGTCATATGGAAAACTAGACACAAATAAGCTGAAGAAACATTAATATCCATTTTATTGAATAATATTTTTGAAGATCATATCCTAAATCAGTAATTTTACACACACAACTACAGAAACATTTCTATATTTGTGAACCATGACTTTGGATCAAATGAGTTTTCTAGATTTAAAAAGTGAAATTATGTCTATCATTGACTCTATTTCAAGAAAATTAACCTGGGCAAGTAGTTAAACAATGTGTGTTATATTAGTATCTTTAGATGATTCAAATAGAAAATTAATTATCTGAATTCAAAACAAGGCACTTAGTTTTTAAATTCCTTTCAAATCAACTAAAACTATTGAAAGTTTAACTTAACATAGTAGTAGTAAATACTTTAAATTTAGGCAAATAGTTCAACATTGAGATAAAATTAATTGTTTGGCTCATTGGTAGTAAAGAATAACATCTTGGTGAGAAAAAACACAAAACAACAAAATAAAAATAATGTTCTCATTAAATGAAGAACACGATGGAGAACATACTCAAAATTTGTTGTAGTACACTGTGTGCATTCCAAGCACTCTATAGTTCAAACACAAGCCAGAATTTTCAAAACTTACAAGTATTTATTTATACATGTTAACAACTATAAATATTTTTGTGTTAGAACCAATATTAAATAGAAAAGACACTTTAGCACAGCAGTCAGCACTTTCTCTTTTTTTTTTTTGCTGTCATCAGATTTTTGAATTCCAAATTAATCTAAGTGTCTTAAAATTACAGTGAACATTTTGTGAACAAGCCTTCTAAATTTGAATTGTACTTTGTCCAAAATCAATTACAATATTTAATAAAAATTTTAGCAAGTAATGTTTCTCAAAACCTTCAACTTTTGAAGACTTTAACAAATTTTGTGCAAAACAAAGCTTGAAAACAGGACATCAGTGGTCTTACAAAAGCAAGCAGAAAGGCAAAAGAAAAGAGAGAACAAAAAAATCAGACAATGAATACCAAAAGAACTTAAAAGATTTAATTTTGAAAATCTATCAGTGAGCATAAAATTTTTAACTTCAGGAAAAAAATCTTTAAATGAAGTTTCCATTTTTCACTGGATAAATTTGCAATCCATACAAAAGTGAAATGGCATTGAGAAGAACTATAATTTTGTAGCATTTTGGTTTATTTAGACATTCAAATTGGTTAAACATAATTTATTTAACAAGTTTTCACTTATAAAAATATTTCTTGATTAGGAGTTAAGAAAATAGCTTGAAATATATTTGGTCTAAAATATTATATACTATAAAACAATTACAATTAGAAATATCCTGTCTAGCATAATCTAACCAGGTAAAAATATAGTAGAATATACTAATATTATAATATTATTACAATGTTGTAATAATAAAACAACTAAAATACCACAGTTTACATAAAAATTATTTGAAGGTGTTAATGTCAAATGTATTAGTCATAAAGCACAAGTTTGACTAACATTATGAAAAATTTTATTGAAAATTTAAAAATAAGAATATTTTTAAAAAACCTTTATACATTAAAATAGCAGTGACACTAATAGGAAAAAATATATGGTTATGTATCAAAAATAATTGCCATTCTGCATATCAAATTTTTGTAATCAAGTTAAGCTTTTTATCATTTTTAATGAATTTTATTTTGTTTTATCCCTTTCCCCACTCAAGCCCCCTCTCTCCCCATGTAAAAAATCTTTGTTTCCATTTTTTCTTCTATTTTCACTTTTTTTTTGTCCCTTCCTTTTTTAGTTTAATTTAATGAGTAAGCATATATTACATTGGTTTTTTAAGAACTTTACATTTGAAAACAGTTCTGAAAACAGCTATTTTAAAAGTACACCAATACAGAAATAAGTTGATTTTTGTCATAAGTATATTAAAATTAATTATTTTATAATCCTCTTTGATCCTGATGGGTGATGATGAATTCTATGGTTACATAAGCATAGAGGTACCAGAAGTAAAAGAGGAACCTGAACTGTTGCTACTCTGGCCTAAAAGAAGGACGGGAAGAAGTGGCTGTGGAAGCCTGAGAGAAGAGGCATGTAGATTGGCATCTTAAAGGACTTTTTGCTTGAAGGACATTAGCTCTTGATGCACTCACAGTGGAAGAACCAGAAAAGCCAATCCCTTTATTTTCTTCCTCCCTCACTTGTGCTGTGCTGGGATTAGCTGGGATTAGTGGAGGCAGAGGCCAAGGAATCCATTTGTATTGTCCATAAGGACAGCTTCCCAGACAAAGAGCAGAGGCAAGACAGTAGGAGAGTAGATCTAGAGACGTAAACAGTACATATCTAACAACTCACTAAATGTCCACCTCCAAGAGTGGTTTTATATTGATTTCATATTTTTAACTCTGAATCTTGTGTTCAAGTTCATTATTGCATGGAAATAAGTATGCAACACAAAAAACATCCCATTGTGGATGGGAAACCTAAAACTCAAAATCCCACCCAAGGGAACTCTATTGAAAAGGCTTTGTAAAGGTGCAAATTTCCAATGATGAATGTCATTATATTTTATACCTTAAATGTACCAATAAAATTAATTCAAAGAAACTATCCTACAGCATTCATTTATGGTTACATAGTATGCTAATTAATGTATTATAACTCATAAAATTGTTAAACATGAATTTCAAGTGTTTTCTCATTGTGTGTTGTGATGAGCCACCTCACAGCTACACCTTGGTATAAAACAGCATTACTTCTTCAGAAAGGTTAGAGTAATGGATAGAGTAGCTAGTTCAAAGGGTAGACATTTTTGCTTCTTTTTTTTTCTTTTATTCAGTTTATTAGTACATTTCAGGTATACAGTACAGTTAGATTATTATTGGGATCTTGTACCTTTACATGATAGGTCTTGGTTCTCATTTTCCCCTTGTCCCTGCCCTCCCTTCACCCACTCTTCCCCTCCCCATTTACAAACACTTTATTTCCATTTTTTCATTTTGTCATATTTTTTTCTTTTCCCTTATTACCTTTCCCCTACCCTTCCCATTTTCCATACACATTTAGCCCTTTTCTTCCTATTTCACATGGTCAATTATCTCATTAGAATCTTATGTACTATTATAGCTTTTCACACCAGAGAAACTATTCGGACATTTTTGCTTCTTGATATGTGTTTCCTCATTACCCTTCCAAAGTACTCTGCATTTTAACACTGTAATTTATAAGGCTTGAAAAATCCCAGTTCTTTCAGATTCTTGCCAACATGGTATTATCTTTTTTAAAAATTTTTTTGGTCATTGTTAGACACAAAGTAATACCTCATTGTTAATTCAATTTGTGTTTGTTTTATTACCTACCAGGATGATCTTTTTCCATGTACATGTATTTATCATTTAAATTCCTTCATTAGTTGTATATGCTTCTCTTTGCTATGGATTTGCAAGAGCTCTTTATATGTGTAGCAAGTATTTCCTTTGTGTATGTGTTTCTTATCACATTTTAAGACATACAAAGTCCATTCTTTATGGATATACATTCATCAATATTTTCCTTATGGATTTCTAGATATACTTAAAATGCCCCTTTAGACCTCAAAATAGGTTTCTCTTAAATAATCCACTCTGCCTTCTTTGTCCTTTGCTAATGAAATTTGAGATGCAGAAAGATAACAGAAAATATTCATGAGGCCAGAGACCTATGTCAGGAGCAGCTCTCAGTGCCTGCAGATTTGCATAACCTGACAAAGAATACGCTGTTAGCATGGAGAGCCAGGAGAAATTGTGGTCTCAAGGAACAAAATATTCTCTTCCTATTTTTGGTCTGAATCCGTTTAGACCAAGGCTGGAGCACAGATAGGATAAGGTGGCTTCCAAGAAAAGAAGCTCCTAAAAAATGCAGAGCTCTGTCCCCAGCCCTGCAAGCTGGCCTGTCCCAGGAGAGCCCTCAGTCTCTCAGACATAGGTCCCAGCCATGTTAATAGTTTGATTGAAAGAACTCTTATTATAGGATGCTTGAAAAGTAACAGCTTAACCAAAAATGCACCCAAAAAATATTGAGTGGGGCAAGAGACCCTGAGGAGGGAAGGAGAGCTCCCTCTCCCCCTTCTCCCCAACCTCGTGCACCTGGCAAAGCCCCTCTCTCATGGGCCCACTCCTTCTCTAGACAGCTGGTGTTTCCCACCCCTGCCCAGGCCTGGCCCCAAGCCAGAGACATGCTCCAAATGACGACTATCCTAGAAGAATCTTTGCAGATGCTATTATGATAAAACTATAATCCTTACCCGCCTCCTCTCCCCCTTCACCTCTCCTCTCCATCCCTCTGTGTTAGTGAGTCTGTGTGTTTTGGGGAGGGAAGCGGTGAGAGACAGGATAGCTTCAGAATTGGCAAATACAGGCTCCAATTTCACAGGGTGGAAAAATGTAGGGAGATGGTTGCCTGGTCTCAGCTATTGGAGAAAGAGGCTGCAGACAGCTTTCCTATCAGGCTTTCAACCCTCTCAAAACCTAACACAAGAAGAACAGTCACTTTTTCTCCAAGTGTAACAAGGGATTTCATTTTCCCTCTTTTCCTCCCCTCATCCCCATAAGAATTACCAGATAAAATACAGCAAGAGTTAAATTTGTATTTCAAATCAATAACAATTCATAGGAGAGAGCTTTGCTGCTGAAATTAAAATTTAACTCAGGTTATTTGGGATGTGAGTGTTGTTGTTTTGCTTTGTTTCATTTTAACCAAATCTAGCAATCCTATAATTCCTCCCTCTCAACACATTTCACTCTTCTGGCACATACCATGAAGGGAGAAATGCTCTTTAAACTCCATTTTCTTCCTCAAAAATCTTAATAGTAGTGCTCACTTTGGCAGTGCATACACTAAAATCAGAAGGATACAGAGAAGATTAGCATAGCCCCTCTGCAAGGATGACATGCAAATTCATGAAGCATTCCATATATTTTTAAAAACCTTAATAGTATTAACAACAAAAGTTCACATTTATTGCACACTTAACTGGGAACTGTACAAAGTACTTTATATTAACATTTACCTGCTTATGTCTATGAAGTATATTAAGGCACTATACACACAACAACCCTATAAGGTAGGAGCTCTTATCTTTATCCACATTTTACTGATCAGTAAAGTGAGGCAGAGAGCCAACCATAACAATAACAAAAAAAAAAAAATCGCAGAAAGGCTACACAGACACTGCTGCTGAGTAGCTGCTCAAGGTAGCCCTCCAGGAGACCCACATTTGACTCAGCTCTCTAAATTCCCTGGTGAATTCAACCCCTCTTCCTTGTCTTTCCAGCCCCGCCCTGAATCATGCTGGCTCCATTTCTTCCTCTGCTGGTCAGGGTGGGTTAAGAGGGATCCCATCTATGGACAAGGTACATTTTTAAAGCTGGCAGCAGCTGCTGACAAAACAAACTCTTGCTGCTCTCTCCTACTCCCACCCCTTGCAAATTCTATCCCTTCACTCCCTCTTGGAGCTCTTAAAAGCCCAGGTATAAGGGATTTTGTTGGAGGAGGATTCGATGATAAATAAAGCAAAATCCCTTTGACATCACTCTCAATTCTAGCTTTTGGGGGAGCTTCTAGGACCCATCTGTCTGTGCTAAGGAGCTGATGATCATTTCCTAGTCCCAACCTTAAACCTAGGGAAAAGTTTGAGTGGATAGTGTATGAGGCTCCCATCCCGTGCATCTACAAGACCACTAGGCTTATGCCAGAAACACCCTCCAATGTTAATAACACAGAGAGAAGCAGGCACAGATCTAGGCTGACCAAGCACAGAAAGAATGAACATATTCCCAGGCTAACATCCAAGGTGAGACCATTACAAAACTTCTTTGATCTTGATTCTTTCCATTGACAAAATGGTAATAATTACTCCACCAAGTACCTGGGTGGTGGTGAAGATTAAATGAGATAATGTGAAGCATCAGCATCATACCTGGCATGTAGAAACTAATCTCTAGCATTTTTCAGCATTTACTAAGGGTAACTCTTTGGTTGGATTCTTTTACTAATTGTCATATGAAAACCAGGTGCCCATAGTTTTTACAACTTGGAGCAGGAGAATCACTGGGCCCAGGACTTCAAGGCCAGCCCGGGCAACCCAGTGAGATCTCATTTTTTTTGTTTGTTTGCATTCTTTTATTTTAAAATTAAAAAGAAAAACAAACTAATTGTCATGAGAAAAATCTAAGGCCAAAATCCATCTGGAACCATTCATTCTTAAGAATATCACACTTAATATTGATTCTTCACATCACAAAAAAAGTCAAAATTTCAAATAATTATGAGCTGATTTTTTTTTCTGATATTCTCTCAATAAACACATATTTGCTGTGGTCTGGGTCTATGTTAGTACAGCGAGAAATTTATACAGAGGCATTATTTACAACACTGCTGGATTTTTATCAAATGTCAGAGGTTCCAGTGAAAGGTGAATTCGAATCTACCAAAGCTTATTTCACAGTACAAAGTGGTAAATAGCACAAATCATTCTGTGTGAACAATTATTAACCTGTTATCCCAACACAATCAAGTTTTCAGCTGTAGTGGTTGTGGAAAGCTTAGGAGCTCCCCCAAAGATTTCAAATAAACATCAGAACTTCAGGCCCCCGATTCTGTACTTAGGACATCCCTGGAACAACTCTGGTCTCCCAACTACTACAAAAGCAATGCTCTCCATTTCACCATCACTTGTGTTCCATCTAGGTAGTGTTCAACTATTCAAAAGGGATAGTGAGTTACCTCTACCCCCTCACCCAGTGCCCTTCCATAGAATCACCCTGAAATTTGATCTAATGATCCAACCTATGGCCATGTTTAGTGCCAGTCACAACTAAGAAAGTCATATGACTGTCAAAGTGATCTTGGACTGAGAGGTAGAGTCCTAGAAGGTCTCTAGAGAAGTACTCTAAACTTACTTTCTCAGCAACACATTCCCTCTTGATATCTATGATCCTGTATTTATATAAGCTGTTTTTTAGGCAACAACTCTCAGCACTTTCTAGTCACCAATGGAGACCCCATTCTTACACTATTTGTGTATCCTCTCTGTGTATCCTAATAAAATTCTTTTACCTGTGTTTCCATTTATTCAATAAACATCTACTAGTGAGACCCTACAATGTACCAGTTAACTGATAGAACTATCAGTATTGTGTTTGTGCCTTTAAAGGCAAATGAAAAGGTAACACGTCCACCAGGGTTAAACACGCAAATGCTACCTGTCCTTCCATCTCTTTCTGCCTTTTCTGCCTTTTTCCCCCTTCACTACATAAGAACTCTGGCTTATCCTTCCCAGATCCCCTTGGTCATTCCCATTAACCTCCTTCATGCACTATCCCACCTAGTTTCACACTGGCAGCCTTGTACTGAAGGTACACAATGTGTTGGCAAAGCCATTCTTCCAGCCATGAGCTCCTTGAGGGCAGGACCACAGTTGATTAGACATTGGGCCCCCCATAATTGGTACAGTGCCTGACACACAGGCGCTCCATAAATATTTACTAAACTTTTAGTGGTGGTCATGGAATTGTTTTTCCCTCAGACTACGATGTAGATGTTTATGTGTGTGCTGTATAAATCTGCATATATACAAGCGCACATGTAACTTACTAGTCATTTGTCCCTGGGTATGAACATCCCCAGGCTTCAGATTCTAAGGGAAAATCATAGTTCCTTCCCATAGAATTACTGGAGAATACTAGAGTATGTGTATCACATACACAGAACAGCTCCAGATATCTGTACCCTCTCTGTAATACCTCTAACCACCAAAGGCTAAGGACAAGGCTAGGACAACATGGTTGATGACCATAGGATTGCTAAAAAACAAGTACAGAGAAAGCGGTTATCATTTTACAGAGAAAGGTAGTTCAGCTCTTATTTGTAGTTTTCTATGATGACTGTCTTTTCCCTGCCCTCTAGATAAGTTTTTGCAGACCTTGACTCTAAAAATTCAAGAGTGGTAACATCCTTCACCTGCTTATATAATTACAGCAGCCTCAAGGCCTGTGGGGCACTGACTGAAACTCTCCTGGGGACCATCAGGGATAGTGGGACAGATAGCTGGGCCAGGCCCTCCATGTGCACCTGCCCTCTCCATACACCCCCATACCTGCCTGCCTTTCTCAGTACCTGACCTCTTGGGCCCACCCCACTGATCCCCCCAGAGGCCTGGCCTCCCTATGACCCAGAAAATAATGTCTATAATAAAGTACACAGTGTCTTTTTGGTTGGCAGCTGGTGGATAGTGGAGACAGGGTCAAAGAGGCCAGGAAGAAAAGAGAAGAATGGAACGAGGGTGGGAGGGAAAGAGACATTGATGGAAGGCAACAGGGGGTGCTTTTGAAAGAAATCTCATCAGCCCTTGGTGCCTGGAGACTTTCCATTTAGTCAAAACAGAAATTTAGTTCCAAAGGAGCAGGAAACTTGTGGTTGTCAAAAAAAAAAAAAAATTTCCCATCCTGCTCTCTTCTCTTTCTTTCCCTGACCTCTGGCAGATAAAATTTCATTCTTGGGGCTTCTCAGCATAAACCAGTCTGATGGTCAGAGTATCTACTGCTTCCAAAGGCAATACTCTGCCTCTGCAAAGTCAATAAGAAGAGTCGATGTCACCCTGCCTCCACTCAAAAGAGACTTTGCTACTTTCCTCACATCTGGCTGAAAGCACAGCTTTGCAGCTGAGTCACTGTGGTCCTGGGGGTCCAGGTTTAGGTTGTTCCTTACACTCAGTGGACAGCAGTTGTAGGAACTTGGAACAGGAAGGCTCTGGGTGAGACAAAAGGATGCGGCTCCAGGTGGAAAGGTCAAAAGATCCTGAAGCCTTCTTGTTGGGAGGGCAAGAGGGGAGACAATGTAGGAAGAAAACTACCGCCTTGGTGTGGCTCACATCTGCTCTCAGCAAGTGGTGTGTCCCCTTTATGGTTTCAATTTTAACTGTAAAATAGGAATTATCATCCGTTAAATTTTGTCTCCATATATTTTAAGTTTGGTTTAATGGTTTCCTTGTAACCTAACTTGATGTGTAAACAGACTATACTCTATTCTTGTAACAAGTAGTCGAGTCTCAGCCATTCACAAGCAGCCAAGCATTCAAACCATGTTCAAATACAAAAAATGCTAGTTATAACAATCTGGTTGTCTCTATATCTCACTTCTCTTTTCTATATGACACTTCCTCTCTCTGGCTATAAATGCAACCTGCCATGTGGAGTGGGCATTCTGAACCACTTTGGGTCTGGACTGCTGCCAGATTCTAGAATCGCAAAGCCAATTAAGATCTGCAAAACTCCATTTGCTGCAATCTTTGGACATCTTATGTCTAAAGGTTCTTTGGGATCAGTAGTTCTGAATAAATTCAGCAAATTGAATATGCATGTTCTCAAACCAAACTTAGAGTCAAGAAGGAAAAGAATGGAAGAAGCAACCACAGAAGATGGAAGATATGAGGGACATGTTTATAGATGGAAAAGCAATGGAAGAAGTAAAGCTAATACAGCAGAAGGTGCCCCGGGGCCTGGGATTTAGCTCACTGGCATAGCGCCTGAAGTATAAGATCCTGAGTTCGATCCCTGGTAGAGAGAGAGAGAGAGAGAGAGAGAGAGAGAGAGCCTGTCTCAAAGGAAAAGGGTCCCATGGGGTACAGTGGGGTGAGGGTTGGGGAAGAAGCAAGAAACATGTTCTGCTACCAGACTATCAGATGTGTGCTGAAATATAAGTACTAGGTATTACAGAAGGCAATGGTAAAGCTTGCAACTGAAAACATAGCACATGCTTAGATATCCCTAAGAAATGAATAAAACCCAGGTCCTCTTCTCCAGCCCACATATCAATAAAACCCTCTGTGCCCCTCCTCCAAAGAGGGCAAGGTGAATGCCAGGCATTTAACTCAGTGGTTCTGCCACCCACCTCACAACTGCAAGGACCCAAGTTCAATCG